TTCTTTTAATAAGGCAAATACTTTTATGTTTAAAAATGCAAATTATATGCATATACCAAAACAGAGATAAGATAAATAAAACCATAGTGCTTTGATAACAAGAATACTGGTACTGGAAGAAAACATTACCAGAGCAGTGTGGCATTTGGGATGCCAGTGCACTCCCTGAATGGTTACAGCTATGCCCAGCAGAAATCCTTCTCCTGCTTAGAAAAAAACATTTGTCAAGGTTTAAATTTTTCACTGCTCGTGAATCGCATTTTCTTCTAAATATCCTGGAGTTAGAATGTTTCCTTCCTGCCCACTCTGCCTTTAAATACTATTCCTATAAATTTTGCAGCTATAAGTTGACTTCTACTTGCTTTCGATAATTTTCAAAGCCCGCACTACATATGTGGATACCAGAAAACTAATTTAAGAATCCAGCTTTGCTCTGACCGGAGCTAGGAAAGATTTACCATTGACTTTAAAAAGCAGGGTCAAGCCCCCCAGTCTAAGAAGAAATTGCACAACAGCCATGACTGCCTGCGAGGCGCAGTTGCTGAACATAAAGTACGGTGGTGTAGCATAGCCAACAGACAAAAATAAATTTTATATGCTAATGACTCTTTAACTAGTGACAGCGAGAGAGCTGAGGCTGACATACATTAGAATCTAACAAAACAACATCTGTCTTGTGATACAGCTGTTAGCAGGGAAAGAAGGGTGATGGGCTGCGGGAGCAGCGAGCGCCCGTATTACCAACTGCTGCTGAAGAGCCTCGTGGCGCTGTTTTAGAAGTTCTTCTGTCCTCTGGAGGATCCCATACTCAGCTGTGATTTCTGCTATTTCCAGTCGCTTCTTTTTATAAAACGTGCTCTTGCTCCGGAGCTTATTAACGTAGTGTTTAAACTGGAAAGAGGGAGAACAGAAGCATCATTTAACTTAAAGTGAAAAAGGGCTTTATCACAGCCTGTTGCTATAGAAAATGTAATGAGCCTGTTTGCAGTGCGCAGGAAAGATTACGTGTTTAGAGCAGAGGACTGGAATTCAGGATTCCCAGGGTCCATTTATTTTCAGCTCTGCATTTGTCCACTGAGTGAGATCAAGAAAACCAGCCCTATTGCTTTCTGTCCCAGCTCACTCGTTTGCAATAGTGAGATCATTCAGTTCTGCTCGCTGGCGTTTGTCAGTCGGAAAAGTCATTACTCGCTGCAAAACATTGCAAGAATCACGGATAAGAAAAAAGTTAATGTAATAGTCATTTGCACTTGTAACAGAGCACAGGATCAGCAGCGCGTAGCCCCAAAGAGCTCTGCGGACCATGAAACAGGATAAGAAAGTGCAGAAAAATTGGAAAGTGGCACGGGAAAAGACTATTTTTTAAATGCTAGTTCTTGATACTTAAAATGCGTTGTTCTCTCTTCCTAACTCGTGCAGACTTAACTGATATCACTAGCTAAAGTTTTAAAAACCAGGAAAATAAAAGCAGAGTCCTTGCAAAGAAGCAGAGAAATGCAATATCTGTTTCCCTCAAAGCCTAAAGTAATGAAGAATTTATATTTTTTATTAAACACTAAATAAAATAACACATATCTTTACAGCCTTAGCTAATTTACATTTGAAACCTTGTGTGCTCAATTTGTAACCAGCATAAAATACCAGGTGTTGAAACAAGCATGTAATGTTTTTCTTTGCCTTAATGTTTTCCATCTGTCAAGCAAGCTTTAGCTCTTATTCTTATATTTTACATGAGAGCTACGAGGGAAATGCCAGGCGCAGCTCAGAAACGCATTGAGATCCAGAGCTGGAAAGCAAGTAAAATTTATTAAATGAATTAAGAATGGGTTTCAGAATGTTCCCTGGTGAGGAGGGGCTCAGCGCTTGCAGAGTGAGCATAAAAGAGGCAGCCCCAAGGAGAAAGCAGGAGCCCCACCACCGCTGGTACAAGTTGAAAACGCAAACATAAAAGAATGTCGATTTGGCAATTTTCATTAGTTTTCCTTTTTCTTTTTTTTTTTTGCAGAATTATGCCTCTCCCCTCTAGAGAATAAATCCAAAAAACCTCAATGTGACCACAGCCTAAGAACCCCCAGAGTAACTGTATGTTCTATAAAAAGTGTCCTGGGCAAAATGCCCAAAATGAAATCAACCCTGTTCATCTGCCATCCTGTGCGATATCTAGGCCAAAGCTGCTTCTCTCTAGCTATGCTCCAGACCTATTTTTAAAGCCAAAAGCTATAAACGTTTTTGGTGAAAGAACAAACCCACAAATTACTCAATGTGCTCTATGCAGATCGGACTATGGGTTGCTTCGGAATACCGCCGTGCATCACGCGTACTACCTCGGACAAGGACAGACAAGGTCACCGGTGCGGTGGAGGCAGCTCTCGTCCCATCGCGCTGTCTTCGTTACATTCTCAGCACTCTTAATGTGGCATTGCCCGAATTAATTCTTTTTCATAGCAGATTCAAGTATATTCTTAGTTAACACAAAAGACTTTTCTAATTGCTGAGACAATACCGAGCTTTCTGTGATTTTCAAGAGATTATAAAAGCGTAAATACAATCTCTTCAGCTCACTGAGGAAAATTTAAGGGAAGCACAGGCGTCTGTCTTGATCGAGTAGATCCCAAGATATTTCACTTGACCACTGGAATTAAGAGTGATGGCAAGGATTGAATTTACTTAATCTGTGACCGCACACAGCTCTCAAATTTGAGTGATTTTCTGTCAGTTTATCCCTGGATGAAAAGCAAACTATTATTCTCTTCCCTTCTATAGCTACTTTTAAGGTCTTGAAAATAGCTTGAGTGGGAGGCAGAGCATTTGCATATTCAATATTCAAAGCATAATGCATTTTACAGTGGAAGTCAAAGGATCTTGTTGATTAAAGAACTCATTCCACCAATGTTCTATTATTAGTTGATTAAGTTAGGACTATGTAACAAAAATCTCGTACAAAAACGAACTACGAGCTGCTCTTTGTTGTAGGAGATGGATGTCTCTCTCATCGCAATCTCTGGTTTTTTAAAAGCAAACGTAACCTTTCACACAGCTTCTGTTGCAACAAACAAGGTAAAATGAGATATAAACAACGGTAGGAAAATGATAATATCTGTAGAAAAATCAATCAATAGTTTGGCAGAATTTTCAGAAGGCTTCACCTACTTCAAACACGGCAGAGATTAGACCCTGAAGCTCTCACTAACTGAAGGCTTCTTTAGATCCAGGGCCAAATTCAGAGCCAGTGTTACTACATTTGACTCCACTTAAATCAGCAGCTTTTAGGGCTCTTACGGCAAAATTAGGTTTCTTGAGCCTCAAGGCTGAGCTTCATTCTGTAGGTTCCCCAAAATTAAAAATAAGCTTCTTGTAAAATACCAGTGCTTTCATTTGTGTAAGCACTACTTCTGAAGCTTTACACGTGTCACGCTCCCATCTGTATGCAGCTGAAACCCCAAGCCCTTAAAATGCTACAAAACACTGTATTTTACTGTGGTAAAAGGTCTCTTAAATAATTTGACTAGTTCACGGAAGAGTCAGTTTAACGATAACTGACCCAAAGGAATCCATTTCTGAGTAGCAGCATTTTCCCACAGACCAGGGCAATGCTCCCTGCGTAGAAACTCCGTGGGCTCAACCTACAGAATTCCCACGGGTCTGCCAGCGCCCGCCGTGATGCGCCATTCGAGGCTCTGTCCACCCATGAGCTTTTCTTTCTCAAGCAACTTAACACAAATAGTTATTTAAGCTTCAAAGATCAAATGCCTGGACAAGAACCAAACGCTGGCACTGATTTAGCAGTTCAAGTCAACGAGGCTGAGGATCCGTGTTTGCACGCCGAGTCAGAGCCCCCTGAGATATAAAAACCAAAGCAAAGAAAGATTCTGCTTTTTTCACTTGGCTATTTTTGTGGGCGACTGTAACACAACAAGCAGTGGAATCTAGATTATGAAACGAAGTGAATGAAAACAGGACTTTGATCTCTCATGTAACGTCCTGCAGCGTGCAGGTATCTCGCATCCCTGGGCAGACTTCCTGCATTCCCTTCCATTTCTCTTGAAAAAAATCCCACAGCGTTAGTACTTTATGCTTTGCTGCTTGTTACAGTCAGAGATTGCCATCAACAGATTAAAGATTTACCCCACTTTTGTGAAGTAATTAAGTATTAGGTCAATTCTAAATATGACAAAACGGGATCGCAGCTATTTAAATGGCTTCTCGAGGACCCTGCAGAGCCTGGCACGTTCCCCCTACCCTCTCAGGAAAGAACGTAAGCGAGCTGACCGCACGCTTCAGTGCTTTGCTGAGCTGGGATCAAAGCTCAATAACTGCTGAAAAATCTTAGCTGACAATCTACTTTTATTAAGAATTGAGGAACAGGTATTTTAATTTTCTAACTAGACCAATTAACAGCAAGCAGACTGCCTCAAAGTATTAAAATTGGGTTCAGAAAAGTTCTTTATCACAACAGATTTTCAATATTTTTTCCTAAGGGGCTCTAAATTTAAACTAGTACAGCCACTGCTGGATAGAGTTAATAACTCATGCATAGAAGGGCAAACTTCTAAAAGATCCAGCAGTATTACTTCAATCTATTAAAATGAAAGTATCCTACAGCCTACTTGTTGGACAGATCAACCAGGAAAATGAAGGAGGAAAGGAGTCAGGGAAGACGTATTCAAGCAGCCATTACTAATAATTTGGATCAATCAGAATACTCATAACGAAGAATCATTTTCCATTATCACTGAAAAAGCACAGATCAATAAAGTCAATGGTTTATTCATGCCAGTGGGTGCTGAAAAGAGTGTTCAGTTTGGTTCAGTTTTGTCTGAATCACTGCATACATTTGGCTTAAGTGACGGGCAACTTCCTACAGCAAAACGCTTCTGGCTTCTCCAAGAATCCTGCGGATTTGCCACTTTTGTTCTCACAACGTGACTACCAGCTACTCATCCATTTCCATGTGTAAGGAGCCTTCGACACACAGAAATGTAACAGCACCTAGAACCTTAGTGAAAAGTTAAGAGAAAGGTAGCAAAGTGATGGGATAATATATCCTGGGTCCTTGCTTAAACCAGTTAATGTTTGAGTTGTAAGACCCTTTACGGCTCCTTTCTTCAAAATCCACCCACCTAGTCTGGAAGTGTTTCGGGTCGGTTCAGATGGATCCAACAGTTCTGGAGGAACAGTGATAAAATCCAAGACTGATTTGTTTTCTCTGCTCGCAAACTGAAAGGTTTTTTTTTAATATCATTTTACCAGAGTACAGGTAGGCATGGATGAGCATTCCTATGAAAAAATGTAAACTCCTTGCATAAATGAATATGCAAGTCCCACGTATCCGTTAACAAAACCATATTCATTTCAAGCACAGCTATGACGCTCTTCTATTCTGATACTCTGGGAAAGTCTAGGTTCTCGGGGCCCTACGCTGAACTCTGAAAAGTACAATGCGTTGTGCAAAGAGCTAAAAATACCGCAGCTTTACCTGGGATCACTTGTAATTGAACCATCTAGCCTTCCTAAGTGTCAACATTTGAATCCCTAATTTTCAGGATCTGACAGCTGCAGCGAGGAGCCTGCCAGCTTTGCCCCATGCTCGTTGTACTTTGTTTGAAGTACTGAAAAAGATTTCATAATCCCTTGAAGCAGACAATTTATTCCCACCTTTTTGTGCTCGAGGTAAATGAATTGGCTACGCCCTGGTGTTCCTTCTAAGTTGTATCTAGCTGTACAACCTCTCCAACTGACTGGAATGCTGCACCATTCCTTTTTACGATTAGGGAAGAAAGCACCTAAAAACATAAGCCAGGATTGACCTTTTGGTGAATGAAGTGCTAAGAAGACCTCAGCTGGAGATCCAAACACGGATATGGGAGCACAAGCGAGGAAGGCACCGACCCTTCAACTGCCAAGTTTTCTGAGTGAGGACACAGCAAAACGAGACAAAGGCAAATGTGAAATACCGGGTACAGGAGAAAAACAACTCTTTAACGGTGGCATTTAGATAAGTTAAATGTGGCAGGATTAAAAGCCCATTTTAAGACAGCAAAACTACTCGTTTAAAGCCTTTCTTCCTTTTAGAAAATGGAGGAACTGAATGTAGAATGCATGTGAGCGCAACAAGAACGCATACTGATGCTCTCGGGTGGCAGAGGGTGCCAAGTGGAGGTTGAGCGTACGACCTCCTTCTGTCCCCACTGCACACATGTTTTGCAGCAGTGATTCACCACGACTGCATTAATAAAGATTTCCTTCTGTATTGGCTCAAACACGGAGCACTGAATCAGAAAAGACAAATTTAAAAGCGTAACATATCAGAAACAAATCCATAGCAGAAGGGTGAGTGATGAAGTGAGACTGTTACTGATGAGAGATAACCTGTTCCCTTCACTTTTGCCTCGTCACCTCTTCCCTGACGACTTATTTGTCTCCTCTATCAGCTCTGTCTTCACACAGCCTACACTCTAGTACCTAAGTCCTAGGCAGCATAGCTGACAGCAGACATCTACAAGAGAATTAAATATCAGTTACCACCATTTTCATAAAGGATCCAAATCATCAAGAATTCAAATCCTTTCCTGGTTTGTAGCCTTAGGAAACACTCTTTTTACTGCTCCACAGAGGTGCCTGTGAGTAGCCCTGCAGTATACCCAGTGAGGTAAAAATAACAGCAGGGCACAGACTGTGCAATACCAGTGTCCTTGGGCCAATGCACAGAAAGTATTCTAAAAAATAGGAAATGCTTCTCAAGACAAACCCTTCTTATTTTAAGCTGATGGTTTTGTCTAAAGTGCCTGGTCGTTCATTCTTCACTCCTCAAAATGAAGACTTGAAAATGTTTTAAAAGTTAAAAGCAGGAGATATTTTAACAAAAAGAATGCAGGTTATGTTCAGAACAAGTCTTGTCTTTTTTCTGTCTTGAGCCTCTTCCTCATGTTAAGACAGTTTACTTGCATTTTTCACTGAGGCCTCTTAGAAGGTTCTGTAATCACAGTTCTCTCCAACCCTGCTCTCCTTGAATTACTGTGGATCAGAGCATGTTCCTCTCAAGAACGGGCCCAACACCAATTATTTCTTACCTTACAGTGCATTTACAGACAATGTAAAACATACATTGCTGTCTTCGTAATGCATCCTTGTTGATTAATTAAACACTTCTTTCCCATCCTGTGACATGAAATACAGACTCTCTGCTTTCTGCTTTTATTTTCACTTTTAAAGTTGCTGAAGCAACATGCCCATTGGGGCTGAAAACCTTGTAGCGGAGAGAAATCTAACGCAGCGGCCTTATTATCGCTACTTCTGGAACACCTATGGAGTGCGTAGGGTATGTTAATGTAAGAGAAATCAATAGCCTAGTTTTTCAAAGGCTCCGTTCCCTTTGCTTCCACCTGTAGTTTTCGTCTTGATTTACAGAGGGGGAGAAAGGCCAGAGGGCACAAGTGACACACGCACGGATTCTGGATTACGCACATTGCCACACTCGATGCACCCTTTAAAACTCTTCAGAAACAAAACTGATTTTTGTGGAGCAGGCACGTCCTATGGGATCAGGAAGGGAGTTCCTTCTACAAAGGGTGTTCCCTGTATTGAGTAGTATGTACAAAAAAAAGCACAGAAATAGGCAAAGAACAAAGAAAGCAGAGTGTTACTCTTGATAAATTAACGGCGGTGCAAATTAACACACTACGGAAGGAATGGAAAGATAATATTAAGTCAGAGAATGATGCAGCTAAAATACTCTTTGCTTTAGTGATTCTGCCACTCAGTACACTTAGCAGGCTTCTTCCAAGCTGAGAAAAAATTACTGTCATAAGAAAAGTCAGTTAATTTTGCTGACAAACCACTCCCCAGCTGCAGCAGCCTCAAAGACTGTATGGAAATAAAATTGAGGAGGGTCTGGGAATTATTTTTTTTTTAAGTAACAATTTTTGTGGATAATAAATAAAGACGGACGAACTGTATTTTGGATAATTTCTGGCATCATGCTTTAAGATCATATATCATATAAAGGATAGGAATGCAGATTTTTTATTATATATCAAATAATAAAATTAGTCTACGTGATTCATCACTTGAACTCCTAATCCCTTCATTAGTCTTGTTGACTTTTATAATTAGTTATTATATAATTAGTTAAATAGTCACACCATTGTGATGATATTAATGTGATGATATTTTGACTCGGAGCCTGGAATGTTAAGCCAGCACCACATTAAGTCCTCATATAGCTTTCAGTCTATTAGGTACAACGTGAATAATTGAAATTAATAATTTGAAAATAGCTACAAATCAAGTACTCCTGCAGTAGAAATACTGGAAAGCATTTGAAAGCACTGGACAGCAATGTACTGTCTGCACATAAAGAAAAAAAAGTCTTCAACTATGTCTGGAATTTGGTGACAAAAATGTGCATTAAGAGCAGAGGCCAATCTGTTGCAACGCTGAGGCCACGTGGTTTGACAAGATATACTATAAATGGCCAAGATACTGCAGAAGCAGTTATTGCAGTGCTTAAAAGGAAATTGTGAGGGAACACAGATTGGTCTATCTCTTACAAAATTCTTCGCCTTACATCCAGCGAGACATCACATACCTCATCCACGTTCAGAACGTCAGAGTCTTCTAACTCGTGGGCCTGGCTGGTTTTCTGTAGCATCTGCCTTTCAGCGCTGGACATCTCCTCCTTTGCGGCCTGAAGTTCTTCTGCCTTGGCTTCCTTTTTCCGGGAAATTATAGATGCCTGCGTGACCATTAAAAACGCATACGGAGAAGTACGGTTAAAAAGCGCTTTGTTTAATCACCAGTAAAATGCGAGCCATTGGATTTCAGGCATCGCACCACTGAAACCACATTTCAACTGTCAGAAACTGATTTTCATTAAGAAATGCGACCACGTCCCACTGCAAAGAGAGAAGCGCCGATTACACACGACGTGCAGTGGCTTCAACTACAACCTCGTCGATGTGAGTTGCAGACTCACAACCTTCTTCAGTATAGCTGAGATTTCAAGCATACCCTTTTCTCCCAGATTCATGTTGATACATTTTAGATTTACATTTCTTCCCCTCCTTTTTTCATTTCCATTGAGGAAAATGATCAGCGTTTTAGCTGCTCCATTGCTTCTACTCAGTCCCTTTCTGTGCATATGTAAGATAAACCAATGTGGCTTAACTGGAGAGTTATCCAAGATTTCACAAATGTCATAATACAGATTTTTATAACTCCATCCTACTCCAACCTACAGAAATATGTTATACTAACAGCAGAACCGAGCCACTAAATCCTGGCAAATAGCTAGAAGACGATGAATACAGCAATACAGTACAGAAATACTGTAGATTACAGATTCTTCTTCTTTTTTTGGAGTCTAGAAGATAATTTTTTTTAAAAAATATCATTTTATAAGATGGGATATTTAAGAGCACCTAACATTTGACCAGAAGCTAACAGATTTGGGAACATAAGCATGCATTAGTTCAGGGGCAAGAACAAAAGAACATTTTTATCCTGCCAAAGTAGACTATTTAAAAATATTTTAAAGTAGCATAACACATTACTTTAGACCTATGCACATGAATCTGGAGGCATGGCTGGTTTCTTCATGTAAAATGGAAAGCTTAAGAACAGAAGTAAAGTAAAAGACACACCGGCTTTCTCACATTAGGTTAAAAGGATCAGGTTTATTTCGAAAAATATAGATAACAGAATTCTGCTGGGGTAGTCTCTCAGCTCTTTGCTTCATGCGATATCTACAGTGCCAAGTTGTCAATTAACATGCACATGGTACAAGATAGATGACGATTTTGTGAAATAGAAGCCAGTCCCTAGTAGAACAAAGCAAAGACCACCGTGTGCTTTCAACTTGCAGCAGCAACCTGAGCTCCTGGAGTTGTTCCTCCACTGAACACGATTATATGACCAGCCAGTTGGTCTTTGGAACCAGCACACCCCGTAGCAAGCTCTTCTTTTGGGAAGAAGAGCACCTCTTCAAAACAAAATGGTGCGTTTCATATTGCACCTGTGATGGAACTGCAGTATACATTTGTCACCATTTTTTTTTTCCTCCCACTGATAGGCTTTACTTAAGCCTTTTTATTTTTTAAACCTCCACCATAAGCATCACCATGAAAATCTTCAATAAAATTAGAAGCAGTACAGGTTGCCTGGAGAAGAAATCACATTTCTGCGTAAGCTCTGAAAATCTGAAGAGTTCATAAATCCTTTTTATAACTTGTGAATTTACTAAGACTAGATCAGACAGTCTATTTTATGAGAAGACTATTTTATAGCCTCAGGATGAAAAAAGAAATAAAATCAAAGAACACCTTTTTAATAGCGGTAACGAGAAAAATAGCATGTGGTCAAACACAAGCATGAGATGTAACAAGCCTTGCATCCAGGTCTGCCTACAGCAGCCAGCCCACATGCTGCCTTTTAAGAATCTGTCCGCAGCTGGAGTTTTACCAAAATAGCTCCTCCAGAATGATCCTTCCAGAATTACTGTGATGCAGCTGAAGGGCAACACCTCAGAGCTTAAGGACAGTGGTCGATACAAACTCCCTAACATGACCAAAAGCAATTGTTTCACTCAGCGCTAAACACGCATCTGTTCAGCAGCTCTTTATTTTCTTTTTGTCCTCCATTATTATGTGTTGCTACTGGTTTATGCTAAATAAATCAAAGGAAAAAAAATCAGTATGTAAACCAATCAGTGACTGAAATTGCTTCACTGCTTCTGCTTAAAAAACGTTTTGTTCCTTCTTACCTGTTGGCGATACATGGAAAATTTACTATCAATTGGCTCATACTTCATCATTCTTTTCTCAATCAGCTGATTCATTTGTGCATTTACTTCATTTATCTGCAAGACAGAATAGAAAACTTAAGGAAATTGAGCTTTATTTCCATGTCTTCTCCAAGAATTAAATGCTTTGCAAACTAGATCTGCAACCCAGCTAGTTCCATTTTTAAAACAGAGGCACAAACCCAAAAAACTCAATGAGTCATTAAGTATTGGCCAGGAAAAGGCGACGTTTTTGGATTTGCAGTTCTGTGCCTTTATGATAAGGCAGAAGCATGACGTTGGCCCTGAAAATGAAGTAAACTGGTGTATGTGGAGAGAAAATATATGAGAATCGGTACAGACAGAAAAAATACCAACGTGGTCGCATATTGGGTGAAAAATGTAATTTCATCAGTATTAATTCAAATTCCTTTTCACTCAATCATTTATCAGCAGTTTAAATGGGAGCGAATTAAGACTAAGTGACATCAAATTTCATCAGGACTTCGAGGGGTCACAGACCATTGGATTCCAGCCCTACGGTACCTCCTCTCCACTGCCACAAACCACATCTCTTTGTCCACGGTCTCCAGCTGTTGACCCTCGTTCTAGCTGAAGCTTCAGAGCATCTGGAAACTCAGAAACAGCAACCCCTGGGTACTGCTTCCAGCTTTTCCAGTCCTGGCTTAATGCTACGCTGGGATTCTTGTCAGCCATGGAAACCACAGCACTAGCAACCTTCCTTGAATTCTCTGCTAACGAGATGAGGGCTGATAAGCGAGCAGTGTAAATAGGCGCTGAAATACAATGAAGTCGAGATGTGCTGCAGGTACAGAGCTGGGTTTTTACCCTCGCATTTCTACGAGCAATAGAAATGTGTGGACTTTAGAGAGCAAAGTATTTCAAATGAAGTGCTCAATTGGACTAAAAATACTCCAACACCCGAAAAAAATCCACATCTCCTGTAAATTCTATTGTTTTACAAAAAGCTATTAGTGGTAGAACGGCTCTGAATTTGAAGAATAATTCCCTTCTGTGAATAAACTCCTATTATATATATTATAAAATGCACAACAGTAGCATGCTTAGTGCAATTCAGCTCCTTTTTAAGAGACTGACGTAGTAGAAGGCTGACTTTTAAAAAAAATGCTGTTGAAGGCCATGCCGTGGTAACACCCAGCATATGACAAGTTTTTATTATCTATTAAGATGATGCTTTCAAAATCCTATAAATTAAAAGGTTACCTCATGGAGAAAGAAAAAAAACCCAAACAACTTGAAGCTTTTTAAAATACTGCCAAAAATCCAACAATACTCTTGGAAAAGAAAGGTGCAAAACAGGGCTGCAGAAATAGCTCCAACCACAAATATTGTTTTGATTAGAAGAAATAAACTGGGAAAGCAGAGGCTGAATCACACAGCTGCTTTATTATTTCAGACCTAATCCATTTAATAGCGCTGTTATCCTTAAAAGTGTATCGACTGGAATCCCAAATGGCATTAGGTTGTTCCTGATTGTACTTCTGTAAAAAGTAATCTTAACCTTAAAACAGAATGGATGTTTGATGACACTTGACTGCTGACTTTCATCTGATCCAACAATCCTGTGGGCACTTCTCTATCCCATTCCTCTGGCATGTTCAGTGTGTGAATGCAGAGGCTACAGGGATGTTGATGGAGCCCTCACGCACTCACACCGGTTCTCTGATCTACTACAAATCCTCATTTTCCTCCTGATCTATCTTTCACAGCAAAGCCAGAGTTGGAGATCCTGGGAATATTAAAAATCTGATAAGACAAGGAGAAGACATTCCAAACCCCAAGGAGTTCCGAGCCATTGCACACTGATTAAGACAATTTTGTCAAGATCTATCACGCAGATAATGTTGCTGGGCACTCCACAAACACTCTCTCTGTATTGCTATAAACTCCCTTGATGTTAGTGAGAGTTTAACACGAGTGAGATCTGAAGAGAAGAAAAATCAAGCCTTAAATGCTCAGTTAACATCTCCGCTCGTACCGTAGCAAACTGCTAACACAATTTTCTAAATAGCATTTAAGGAAAAGGTTGGGATTTTTTTGCTGTTGTTTCATGGGGTTTTTTTCCAACTATCTGAGAATTTGCATTTAGTGATTAACACATCTTCTTTTGTTTTAAAACTGCAAGGATGCTCCTTTGGAAAGCAAACGTTTTCTCAAGGATATAAAGCAGGGATAAGAAAAGGGCAGTGTACAAGAACCTTAGACCATGCTACGGAACACAACTTAAGTGTGACCTCGGTCAGCTTACCTTGGTTTCAAGTACATCGAGATCAGATTGAGTCATAGCTGGCTCCGCAACCACCTTTTGTAAGAAATACGTTGAATTCTTCTTACTTTCAAGCTCTCTAGGTAGTTTTTCAGTAACCAGGTATGAATTGAAATTTATCTCTTCTTCTAGTTTCTTCATTAAACCTTAAAAATACATTAAATTGGGGTGTGTCCATAGAAGTAATATAGTTTGATTTCACCAATGCATTAAAGTACTCAGCAGCAGATTACAATAACAGCAACAAAACATTTGGGTCTCCTTTTCAACACTCAAAGAAACAGGTAGTTAACTTGTTTTCGATTTTTAACCTGGATGTTAAAACAAAAGGTATTACTACCCATCTGTGTCTCTAACATATAATAATTTTAACTCCCTGACAGATTCTTTTCATCACTGAACAGGCAGAATCCTTCTTACATGAAACTAGCTGAATCAGATGCAGGATTCACCACGCTGCACTGGACATTAACCCCACGAGTTACATCAAGACCCTGGGTTCTGGGTGACTTCTTCGTGCCATGAATGACATTGTTGAGAAGTTTTAAAAGTTAAGAGCTAGACTTTAGTTGCTTATGCGCACGCAAGATGAGGAGCAGCAAAGCACATCACAGCTCTGCTGACTGGCTCAGAGCTTTTTCGAAGCCCTGTCCCTTGCAGTTTCCGTGGCTGGAGCAGTGGATCAAGCATCTTGAAGATAGTCCTACTCGCAGGATTGCAGAAGTTGCTGTTTTGTGCAAATTATTTCATCTACAGACAGAAATTAGCTCAGGGTGAATCCTTTAGCTGTACAACGATCTTAATTTGGCTTCTGTATAGATTTGTTATATCCTTCGAAATAATCTCTTAAAATACAACTTCATTCCAATGTGGCATCCAAAAGCCTTAGAATGAGCAGAATTTAATGTATGCCTACTTTAAGGGTCTTTTACATTGCTGGAGCACTTACAAATTGCCTCCCTGTAAATAGCACACCGTCTTTGCTTGTAAGAACAAGCCTTTAATCTCAGGACAGTATATAGATTGAGAATGCTGAAAATAATAATAAACCAGAGAGAACTAGAAGGAATTCCTGAGTAATGTAAAAAAAAAAATCCGTTGAGAAAAGCAACCCCATTTATAACGTTTGCTCTACACAAGCCTGATGCACGCTGCATCTTACCATGCTTATGATGATTTGGCTCTTACTAGAGAATTTAGCCTCCTTAACAGATAATTTATAAATAAACACAGGTGTATTCAGATATGAACAATACACAGCTAGAGAAACATGGCAGAAAACAATACAGCAGCTATTTAAATTACATTACACAGTCTTCTGCTGTTTAGTGCAATTATTCCTGAGACAATTGTGCCAAGGCCTGCAGTAAGATTTGGAAGTTATATATCAGATGAGAGTGGGAATAGGTATTTCAGAATTATTTTTCAGTATCTAGATGACTGAAATATAAGTATCGTAGGAACTTTTAAAAACTACTTGCTAGAGTTGGGTTTTGGTTGGTTGTGGGATTTTTTTTTCAGGGCGTTGTTCTCTCTGTATTTGGGAGAATATGGAATTGCCGCAAAACGCCGAGAAGAAACAAGAAAATCACAACCTGCCTCTTCCAAATACTGCACAAGCAGAGAAAAGCTCGAGATATACAACAGTACAGCTGATGTTGCTGAAACAGAGATGGCAAAGGATGTAGGCGAAAGCAGAGTTTTTGGTTCTCAGGCTGAAAAGCCTGCCAGCCACAGCTCTCACTGGCTGCCAAAGTGAAATGCAAGAGCAGGAGAAGGGGCGCCCCTTATCTTGCTGCTGTTTGCCTCTAGAAACACCATACTCAGAGATCCTCCTGCCTCCTGCTCCCAGCTCCCACTGGAAGGAAAGCTACTCGGTTTAGCTGCCAGAAAGGAAATAAACCATCCGCTCTCGAGAAAGCCTCAAGAACTAGAAGAAAGAAAACAGACTCTAGGAAAAGCAGTCTTGCTAACTAAGTCAAGACAACAGAGTCTGAAAATGAGCGGGAATTCCTCTTTTCCAGCAGTTCAGTTTGTTGATTTCTCTGTTTATTAAAAGCAACAACATGACATGATCTTCTGCCCTTTGTGGACAAATCATTTAAGTTGTCCAAAACAAACAGCATCCGTACTGGTTTCAGACTGGTAAGCAGAGTTTCTCTAAGTATGCAATAGCCATCACGTACTTGGCACCGCAACGATACCCTGGGAAACACATTCGGACTTACTGAGAGAGATTTCCCACCTCTTTCTTCCAGAAGAACTCGATTCTAGTCTTCCTCAGCCCACGACAGAGCTGGGCAGGAGGGACCACATTTTAATGTCTCATTAGAAACCTACCACCTCTGCAAATGCAGCAAAGCTTCCCACATACACCGTGAGCTGAATTAGCACTCAGAACTGACTAGGAACATAAGTCTCAGTTTGGTATCTAGAGCCAAGACCTTTGGTGTGGAAACCAAAGTGGTATCAATTCAATTATTTTGATACTAAATATTAATATTTTCATTTAATCAAACTGATTTCTTGTTTTCCTCTTAGCAGCAAAAAAAAAATATAAATCTGTACATACAGCTATGCTTTATTTCTTGCACTACTCCAGTAGTCTTACAAAAATGCTCAAATAATTTGCAGATATGACACTAAACTCAGGAAATAACCACACCTAAACAGCTGCTTTCGTAAGAGCTGGGACCTACTGACTTCACAGGGTATAACCTTGATTACTGCCTAGATTTCTTTCTCAGATAACCTCAGAGGTAGTACCAATTCCTTTTAAACACTGACTGGTTCTGCATCATGCTTACTCTTGACGGTGCAACAAGCACTGAAGCAAGTTAAAACTTGACATCTTGATGGGGAAAGACACGATGATGTCAACATCCCTCATGACTAATGTAGTTTCTTTCCTAAACACTTTGGATCTATTTTCCCTTCTATACGTTTCAACATATAGAAAAGTAACTACCCAAGAGTTATATTTGCTGCCTAACAGAACTTTAAAAAAAAAAATAGGGCAGCTCTTGTTTAATTTTTTCTTTTCAGTGAAAACCATTCTTTTTTCAAATTCCCAGGCTAGAGGAAAGAAAAGCAAGCATCCTTTAAATCTTTCCATTACACATATAAACTCTGTTTTTAATGTTTTAACATCAACTTATGGTTACAAAATCTACATACGTAAGCTGCACAGAAAGTCTGGCTCCGTGCCTGAAGGTTGTTTTAGCAAGGTTCTGCCAACCACATATTTACATGTGGAGAGCTATTAAGAGCAACTCCTCATGTTTTCCATTCAAATTTTTTCATTATTATTATTACAAAGAGAGAAATAGGATAAAGAGTTTCTTAGAGCTTGCTCAGTCATGTAGGAAAGAGGCAAGCTTCTCTGCATAATCCTGCCAGTGGATAGAAAACTGGATTCATCTTGTGCTCAGATTCCTAATTCTTCTCCCTCTACAGGCTACCAGTTGTGCATCCTACAGCAAAACCATTGACAACAATAACTCATTTTTTGTTAAAAGGAAGGAAAAAAATAATAATAAAAGAGAAACACTCATTTTGCCAACACTTTAATATCACATAGGAAGGCCACAACAAAACAAGTCTGGAACAGACTTCCCCACGGCACTGACCTTGCATCCATTGACAGCTCTTTGGTAAATAAAATCATTTAAAGATGGAAATAGTGTGTCACTAAGCCATTCTCCTTTACCAAGAGAATCTATAACTGTAATTGTAATGTGGCCCGTAGTGTTGGTGAAGATCATTTAAACTTGGAACTTTATGGAAAGATAGCTCTGTGGTAAACAAAAATGTTAATGTTTTCATTCAAAGGGAACATTTAAGTAATAGCATTCCAAATATCTATTTTCATCAAGTGTTCAGAATGACATGAAATAGACATCTGTACAAAGCAATGCCTCTTTGACCGGTATCTTCGAAATTCTCAGTCTTCTAAATCTATGACTACATATTAACTTATATATAAATTACATATTTCACTGTTTATCAACAATTATCACCTTAACACATTCTTTTGATCAATATTTTCAAGCTAGTCATCCACTTATTCATATTTTTGCCAATAAAGCGAACAATAATGTTCTCTAAAATGGACAGAGATCAAGAATTTCAATAATTCCGTTTCCTTCGTGGCATTAGCAATTTATGCTTATGCCAGCAGAGAGATTCAATGCAAAAAAAAAGATGTCACTCTTGCTGAGAAAGCATGAGTTAGGTTATTCAAACTAGTGGTCAGTGTCAATAAAAATACTATTCGTATCTAGAACATCAGCACCACAAAAAAAACCCCATAGAAACTGTAAATTCATATTACTCGGTGCTGCCAGCAGCAGCCGCCTCTCTGTAGTTAAACAACCTACTGAGTAGTACTGAACTTAATAAACAGGGAAGGAGTGTTCTGTGGAAAGCAGTATCATCAATTTTAGTCCACACAACATCTCACAACAATCAAGTGTTTTTCCGGATACAATACAAAATCTTCTACAAAAGCATATTTCTAAGAAAGAAGAACCTGCTAACCATAAGCTGCATTCTCCTGGCACAGATAAGCAGACTAATGCTAACTGCACGTTAATGATACTCATGAATATGTGCTACTGCGTTCCTTAAAGAGTTCCTTCACATTTCTTCACAGTGTTTCATCCCAAATTAATTATAAGATGAAGTAATCAAAGCAGCACACATCTGCAAGACCAACGACAAAGCTTCTACTCGTGAGCAATAACTTTTAGCATTTTATCTTGCTTCGGAAGTAAAACCACCTGAAGTATTAAAAACGGAAGAAAATGGTTTGAAAGGAAAGTATCCGACTTCCAGTGAAAATCCACATCTACCACGGAGCCGCTGAACTGTCAGCACACGAGCTACACTGACACGAATAGGCAGCTGAGGTAGCCAACTGCAGCCAAAAGGAATTTTTAAAATAAAATAAATTGTGTTAACTGTAGACCAACAAAGCTTTTAAAATAAATGGAATCCTATTCAGTGCACTGTGGTCACTTCATTTCAATTATTTAAAAAACAGAGTTGGCATTCTGTAATTGCTGCTACAGGCAGTGTCTTTGTAACTGCTGTGGGGAAAAGCAATTACAAAGCTAAGTCCTCAAGTCTTTGTCTGGGCAAAAGTTCAACACAAGTTTTCTTAAGTTATGACTCCAAGTTTTTCTTTGGAACATCTAAACACTTTTTTTCCCCTTCCAAGCAGGGCTCAAGATAAGGAAATTAAATGTTAACTTTATCTTCATTTTCATCTCAATGATCAAATGACATATTTACTGGCTTTTTATTATGTTACCTTTGCTTCTGTGAACTGAACCCATCAAATTTCCATTGGCCTTAAAAAAACCCAGGAACTGAAACAGAAATGTTGACACAGCTTTGCTGTACAAACTCTCTGATAGCTACTGCAAAAACGGAACAGTTATAAAAACGACTGCAGGTCCCTTTGAGTAACAAAGATAGCTCAGATACTCCTTTAGTTCCATTTGTGGTTCAGTGGATGATGAGCATCATAAAAAAATTAAAATTACAATGTATTAACAACACAATGGGGTGGTAACTGAAAAAAAGGCTCCAACTCGAACTAGCTGCCAAAGCAGTTTTATGCTGCAACTGGAATATGAAATCTACTTGAAGGAGTAAGACAACTACTTGCTTTAGTATGTTTAAATTGATAAATAGTTAAGTTCTATTTTCTTGGAAGAAATTTATACATATAATAAGAAACATTCTACAGCATTTTTTTAACTATAGTGACTTAGAATGCAACATACTGAAAAAAGGACCATTCCAAGTCTTATACCTTCACACTACTCCACATACAGTCAAGTATTTTCCTATAAATCAGCCCCAAAGCCTGTATGAACAGAACATAAAACCGCAACCCTGTGACCTGTTATCAGTAACCAAGTGACAATCTGGAAGGGACGAAGCGATTGGCAAAGATCCCACACATCCAAAATACCAAACGCTAAACTGACTCCCAGTTTTGTCCTCGAACTGCCAGGCCAATCCTTGTGACATTTCCTTTAAAGTGATTACATCATCACCAACCTAAAGGTTGTCAAATTGTAGCCCTTGGAGACAGTTACATACTTATGCAGGAACTGCAATTTCCACCTGCTATTTCTATGATGATCACAGAGCACTAACTTACTCCACAAGTAGTACAATAATTCATTTTGCTGAGGTTATTTGTAGACTGAGATTATCAGTGAAAATGAGGAGAAGCAATCTTGCTATTCTGAATGTAATGCAGCAACACAGAATCAGCTACAGCCGTGTCATGAAAACCAAGTATTTTCATATGGAAACAAATATGTTCCTAAATACATAGGCTTTATATGGATATGGATACATCTAGTATATGGATATATCTAGTATATATACTTAAAACCATACACAAGTATGTGCGCACATATATATATACACACACACATATATACACAACACACATGTATCATCTATTAAAAAAAGCTCATTTAGAAAGTAGCTTTGGTTTTGGTACCATACAAAACTGCAACAGAAGATTGCCCTAAAATAAGAAAAAGCCCTAAAGATTTTCAAACAAATATTTAATAGAAGGTAATTAGAAAAACAAGTCCACACTGAATACAACATAGTACTCTATGTATTTGTACATTAACAGAGAAAATGTTTAAGAAGCAGTATTTCACCAGTGCCCAGTTAGCCAAGACACAAAATCTTACTGAATCAGAAGTCTTTCTGCTTTTTCCAACTCTTTGTAGTTCCAACTTTTTTTTTTTCCTTGCCAAGTATTATGGTCAATACTCAGTATTTAAATGCTTTAAGATTTTTTTACAAGTAGACTTCAAAAATATGCCTGATACCATCTTCCCTTGTGATTTTTTTGTGGTAAGGCACATTCAGCCTTAGAATCTCCAGCGTGTGCCTTTAGAACACAAGTTCTTTCTTT